ACTGTGTTTAAATTACTGCTAAATGAAGTTTCCCACGAAGTTAGTAGCGATTTCTTCATTCCAAATGAGCATTTTCACTCCTACTCAGAACAGTATTATTTACCAGGTTTTTAACTCAGGAAGTAGTGCACATACAACATGTATATTTGGAAAATTCCCAATTCAAACACTGGTTTATTTAAAGTATTTGAAGAATAAATTCCATTTTAAATTATGCAATTAATAGTGAAATCTTAACAAAAAATAATCAGCTCCTAAGGCAATTACATGACAAGCAGTTCTGAAAACAGGGATCTCTTTCACACCCATGGATCTTCAAGAATTACAACTTCCTATGAAGCACTATTTAATACAACAGCTTTCAGTTACTGACTAAAGTAACAACCAATTGCTGCTAAAATACTTTATATTAACAACAGTTACATAATTCTACTAAAACAAATTATTTCAAAATTGGAGTAAAAAGTGTTTACAATTGGGATCTGCGTATTCCACAAAGCCATTTTGCTCAAGCTTAAAAGCACAAGAGTACAGCAGCTGATCTCAAAAAATTTATAATGACTACTAACTTCCATCTGATTAAACAAAAAAAAAATTTTTAATCCATCCAATTGTAAAAAATTTTCCAATAGAATTACTCTGAGTTACCCCATTTTCCACTATTATTTCTGCCATTAATTCAGCCTAACCTATACTTCCCATCTTAATTTTCATTTTTTAGATTTTTCTAATGAGTCTAGAACACAAAAAAATGAACAATTTAATCCACTGACTGTTCACAAAAACGTCTGCAACCTGAAACTAAAACTGAAAACCAACATAACTATTAATATTAAAATCTCCAGCAAGCATGCCAACACAAGATCTTCAGATGTAAATTATGTCCAAAACAGTACATGAAACCTCTTTAGACTACTTTCCTTCTATTCCCAGCCACAAGTTTCATATGACAACACTGGTGACAAAGCATTCACAATTATCTGACATTTGGCATTACATAAAAGGCAGTGAGTGACACACCAAGCAAAAGGAAAAAAAAAAAAAAACACCAGATGCCTCAAAGAATACCAACCATGTTTTGTTCAGACTTTACCTTCATAAAACATTGCAAAAACTCATCTTCCCGTGCCAATTTAACTCGGTTTATCTACCTACACCTACACGCTGTCCTCTTTGCAATGGAATCAATTTACTAAGCCACCTACACCCAAGGAAAATGCATGGCACGTGTATAAAGGGCCATCTCAGCAAATAACTCCCGAGTTGCAGCGAGACTACTCGGAAGCACTTCCTAGATCCTAGGACAGGTTTAGCAGGAGTTACAGAGTCATTCCAGTCTGCTCGTGGGCTCTCAGACTAGAAAGAAAAACTCGGTATGTCTCCAAGAGGAAAGAACTCAGAACCCGAAACCCGTCTGGTCGCTGTAGTCTAGTGGCGGTACGGATTTAGGGTGGGAGCCTAAAAGCAGTTTCCAGGCCCCGATAAGGTGGAGCCAGGCCAGGGAGCTGCACCTCGGCTCAAGGCAGTGCGGAGCAGGGGGCACACGGGGCCGCACCTGTGGCTGCCCGGCCGCGGGACGAGCGCGGAACCACCTCAGGCCCGCAGGGCTCGGCCCGGCCGGGCCGCGCCACAGCCGCGCTCGGGGCACACACCAGGCCGAGCCGCCGCTCGCACCGAGCTGTGGCTGACGAGGAGCTCCCCACACAGGGCATAAATCCCCAAAAAAACTCGGCAGCTCCTCGGAGCGCTGCCCAGCAATGAAGACGCAGAGGCGGCCAGCTCAGCCCCTCAGAGGCCGCTCAGCCGGGGGCCGCCCGGCCCGGCCCAGCCCGGCCCGCACAAACAGGGGCTGGCGCCCCGAGGCCCGACCGCCCACCGCCCTGAGGAACGGCCCCGACAAACAGGACACCGGAGAGGGGCCGGTGCGCCGTGCACCGCGAGAGCCGCGCTAAAACGGCAGCACCGGGGCCGAGCAAGGGCGGCGATGGCCGCCGGTCAGTCCCCAGGCGGCAGCGGGGGCGACGCGGCCATCTTCTGTCTGTGCCGCGGACGGGAGCGATGCCGGAGCCGCTCCCGCTCCTCCCTCGGGCCCCCCGCGCCCAGACCGCCCCCGTACCGGCTGGTGGACGCCATGTCGGCGGTGCCGCAGCAGTGCCGGACAGCGCGCGGCCGAGCGGCCCCTGTAATTAAATCCCGAGAGCGGCGGGCGGGGCCGCCGCGCGCTCCTACGGGTGCCGCGAAGGGGCGGGCGCACGCGCGGTGCTGCCCCGCCCTGGTGCCGGGGCGGGCCCCGGGCTGCGGGACGTGGGCTGGACCTTCCTCTCGGCTCACGCAGCGGCCCATACACCCTGCACTAGGCCCACACACCCCCTGCACTAAGCCCACACACCCCCTGCACTAAGCCCACGCACCCCCGGCCCTAAGCCCACCGCGCGGGCCCCGGTTCAGCTGCACCTGCAGTTTCGTGAATTCCCACAGGAGACATGCGTGAGCAAAACTGTCCCGAGTTCGCACAGAAGTACATGGGGGGGGCAACACGTTCTTGGCTCTGAAACTAAGCAGAGACCAATTCCCCGAAAGGAGAAGTTCAGTTCCTCCTTCCTGCCGTCGCCCGCCACAGCGGTTGTGCTTTGGCGCTGGGCTGAGGAAGGACGAGAAGGCCCTGGCGCGTCTCTGGGCAGACAAAAAGTGGTTGATGTGGCAGATGGAAGAATCACTATTAACACTCTGTCAGCAGATCATTTTAATAATACACAAAATTTACCTTGCTGTCCCCAGCTGTTCTTACCCATCACTGTAGTCACAACAATAATCCTATTTTAAAAGTTTCTTCATTGGTCATTCTAGAGTTTCTTAAAATTTCACACCAAATTTCTCACTTTGGCTACTGTAAGTAATAAAAGTGTTTAATTAAACTGCAATTCTTACATTGCTAATATTACTAGTACCATTTCAACAATAATGCAATGGGATATTCAAACACAATGAACAGTACATTAAGGAAAGCAAATCACTGGTTCTTATTTGTGTGTCTAAAGGACCTTTGTAATGGTTTGTTGATTTATCATGTACTTCAGTAGTGTGTTGCAATCTCAGTTCCTGCAAAACCAGCTCCCTAGTGCAACTTACATAAACAGATTTTAAATTTGTTAGAGTGTACGTTTCAAAGAAATTTAGTGTCTAAAAAGTAGTTTATCCTGGAATTTAATATAGGAATTTTCAAATTAAATTAATTCTGAAATATCAGCTAAGTAAATCTAATTTCCGAATTGATTTTTCTACACAATGACTACATACCACTTTCAAAATACCAGCCATCCATCTTCTGGTGAGATTTGGGGAATAGCAAGACAGCTACAAAGACTATGGAAGTCCCTGCTACTGGACTCCCAAAAGCCCAAGACCAAGAAGTATTAATGAAAATACTTAGCAGCTCTTCTCTAAGGCCAGTTTCTAAACCTTTTTTTAGGTCCTGGTCATGGTCACAGTCTCATGGAACTCAGTTAAGAGTCCAGCTGTGTGATCACAGAATGAATAAAACAGTGGCAAAAGAAGTTACTGAATTTGTTCAGGCTTTGCACCATAAGAGCTGTGTCATTGTTTAAGCCCAGCTGGCAACAAGCAGCCCCCAGCTGTTCACTCACCCACCACCCCAGACTGGTGGAATGGGGAGAAGAATCAAAAGTAAAACCTGTAGTTTGAGATAAAAACAGTTTAATAATTGAAACAGAGTAAAAAAGAACAACAATAATAATAATAAATAATAATGATAATAAAAAGGATTTAAAAAAAGAAAAACAAGTAATGCACAATGCAGTGCACCCACTGACTGATGCCAGACCCCATTCCTGAAGCCCTGGTGGGCTCCCCCTTCCCTCCAGCTCCCCAGCTGATGTACTGGGTGTGACATTCCATGGTGTGAATATCCCCTTGGCCAGTTCGGGTCACTTGTCCAGCTATGTTCCCTCACAGCTTTTTTTAGTTTTTTGCTCCTCCTCACTGGCAGAGCAAGAGACACAAAAAAGTCCTTGATTTAGGATAAATGCAACTTAGCAACAACCAAAACATCAGTGTGTTATCAACATTATTCCCATGCTGAATCAGGGAATCTCAGCACCAGGTACTGAGAATAAAATTAATTCTATCCCATCTGAAAGCAGGACAGCCTGTGAGAAGAACATAGAAGGACCACAGAGGACATAGCACACAGTCTTAAAAAGTCACCTACCTGGATTGCTTGTGAGAGTGGGAAACCCATCCACAGATCAAAAGATTGCAGAAAGAAGTGAAAAAGGAGGTAGCTAGAAAGGAATTCTCCATATTGACTTCCTTTGAAACAAGTAATTTATATACTGTGCTTGAAACCAAGCTAGTTGAGCTCCCTAGAACAGCAGTGGGCCCACCTCCATGGCACTCCTAGATCTAAAGAGTTTGAAGTAAGTTTGGTGTGACATTGCCAATGTTGTAACATGGAAAGAAAAATAATGACACAAATAATTATGTCACTGTACATCTGATTGTAAAGGAGCCTCTAAAGCAAAGTTTTTTCTATTTTGCTTTGTAGATTCATCCATGTAATAAATACAAGGTAGCCATAAGTAAATAGAATTCCTATTCCAGATGCCACTTTTATAATTGCATTGAAGACTGAATACTTTCAGAACACCACACGTAACTATTGTGGGAAATAAAATAGTAATTATGTAACTTAGCACTTTTCACTTTATTTAAACTGATGCAATTTCAGAGAAGGTAGGCAGGTATGTAGAGAGTCACTGCAATTGTCTAATATGAGCCATGTGTCTTAGTCTTCCTCTACTGCAGGTTATTTGCTTTCACAAACTAAGACGTTTCTAAGTCTCTCTCTAGTTCCCATACTATCTTATACCAAAAACACCTCCCCCTTTTTACTTGTAAGCTTTAAAATACCTATATAATTTATTTCTTTTACACAGAATCCTATAAATCTTTTCTTTCAGTTAAAAAAAATCCCATTGGGGTTTCTTTAAGAGAAAAACAATTTATTTTTAAAAGATTGAAAATAATCTCTGAGTTGCATTAACCACACTTCAGTAAATCATTGTTCTAACTCCTCACCAGGTATCAATAAAAAGTTATTTACAATGTCATATTAATTCTGTAGTGTATTAAGTATTTTTTTTCTTAAATTTCCAATTTAAAAAAACCCTACTATTAGATAGTTATACTATATGGAAGAGTTAATAAGAAAATTCAGCCTGTCTGTTTATTCCAGTTCTTCAGGATTACTTCAGCTGCATCTAGTGTGCTGTCTTTCTGCAAAACAAGAAACAGCACTATTACTGCAAGTACAGAGTTCCTGAAAAGAGTCAGTCATGTTTATATAATCTCAAATCAGTATTTGATTACTTCAGTTGCATCCTGTAAATATCTTTTCAGCCAGTTTTTCATTGACAGTTGTTAGGTACAAATCTGGACTATACAAAGAATTCAATGCCGATTCCTTGAAAATATTTATTAGATATATTTAAAAGATATCATCTCAGCATTCATATTTTCCCAATTAATGAAAGCAATACTTACATAAATTCATGGCATTAATGCAGTGATGTAACTTAGCAGCTCTGGTTTGGAGACATGCTAGCACACTTTCCTAATCCCTGTGAGTACAGTTGGGATTTTTCAAACTCCTTGCAACCATGTTATGCTGTGAACTACTTAAACATAATCCCTCCAGATTGTGTAGCTTGGCTCCAGCCTGGTGAGTCATACACTCAGTCTAACCTGAAACCATTAGTGCTGTTTATCAGCCACAGGTACAACCAGTAACTTCATCCTGGTTGTTACTGGCTCAGTTTTTTTACCATAGTCTTTACACCTCATCAAAAGAAGTAAGTAACACAAGGAGAAACTCCCCTTCATTACTGTTTCAGGCTAAGGCTCTGATCTCTATACAGAACAGCTCAGGATTTGCACATGTTCCATTATGCTGACTCTGTTATAGAAAAATTGGGAAACAAGAATGTTTAAAAATCAATACAATAAGTTTAAAAGGGCTACCCATCCAGTTATTTTCTGCCAATTGCCCTTCCTAGCCATGCCACCTACACTTATAGTGTAAAGTCCCTCAGCAAAAAGACAATTGAAGATACTTTGTGATGAATTTTACATCAAACTAACTTTATGTTCCTAAAAGCTTTCAATACAAGAGATCCTGGGAAAAATGTAAGTCAGTTTCTTGCAGATTCCTGCACCGCATTGATTTTCAGGACACAAATTTACCTTAATGAAGCAAAAACGTATGTATTTTTCAAACTGTTTCTTTGTTTCAAGACCACAGAATGCTGAAAGAGGAATTGCTGACAGTTTCTGAAACATAAAACAGAAATAGCATTTGCTTATTTAAACGTGTATAAGAAATCTGGTTTAAGCATGACAATTTTACTATTCTGTTTCTAGAACTCTCCCTCCCAACACATGAGGGAAAGACAAGGTTCAGTTTTGTATGCACTAGCTAGGCTTGTACTAAATTAAAATTACTTCTCTTAGGCAAAATACTTCAAAGGTACTTTTGTACAACTAACACTTAAGCATCCTGAAAAAAACTACTGGAATGTAGCACAAACCTACAGTGTACATTTTCAACATACTTAAAATATTTTAGTCACACCATTATCAGCAACACCAAATTGTGAATGGAACATCTCTACTACATTATTTAATAATTACACTTGCACTGCTCTTGCTTTCAATAGAAAAGCATTTCTAAAACTAGAATATGACAAAGACATCTTACCTTAGATGCTATCATCCATCTGACAAATTTATAATCATAAGGTTGTTTCTCATCTCCATCAGAGAGATCCACATCTAAATGTAAAACAAATATGTTGTAAGATTTCCTAGACTCCAATGGGAAGGCATTCATTAACAACATTTTATTACAGTTAATACTTAAGAATGAAGATATATGTTTTATTTTAACATATAATTTTAAAATTATACTCTAAGAAGTAAAATAGGCCAACAGATTGAACCTTTCCCTTCTGATCTGAGCACTTGTTTTCCATCCAAAGCAAATTCAGACATGTAGCTTAGAAGAAAGCCTCCAGTGCAATACTCCAAGAAGTCCTGAAGTCTGGCTATTGGGGATCAGGGCTATGGAGGGTACTGAAGAGTGCATTTATTGCATGGACAGCAATAATCCCTGAAAATGCAGTTTTCTCATCTGTGAAACTGGGGTACCTAAAACTTCCTGACGCATGATTAAACTGTGATATCTTTCTGTGTTTAAACATTTCTGCCTGAATGACAAAAGCCATTTAGACCAGTTAGTGAAAAAATGCAGAACTAAAAAAACCCTTCCCCTGTGTGAATTCTTCCTCTGAAGCTACCATAGCCTGAATTTTCAAAAGGTTTGTAAATTTTGGTAGCATTTTAGAGTGCTTAGAGATCAGAATGCTTCCAAGAACCTTTAGGGTGTGACTTCAGATTAGGAAAAACAAAGAAAAAAAAAACAGAAAAAAGACCAGAAAGAGGAAAATACAAATGGTATGAACTCAGGCTATCCAGGTGCTTGGCTCTCAAATATTTTCATAATTATAGATGTTTTGAAAATAGGAATGTTTACCTACCTCCTTCATCCTCTCTAAAAACTTGCCAGACCTTTGCAAAACATGGACAACAAGCTAAGATCACAAATGCTTTGCTGAAGCTCATAAAATCCACCTTACCAGCTAAGGTGAAACTGAAAATTTCAATCCCAGTTAGTACCCCTGACAACACTATGCACACATATGTGTGCATATGAGATGAGAATATAGTTTAAAATCAAAGCTGAATTTTCTGATTAACCAAATTTACTTTCCACATGCTCTTTAATAAACTTTATACTGACTTAAGGTGGAAACATCAACAATCATAAAGTATCCTCCATCTGGAATGACAGGCTTTAGTCCAGCCTCTTTCAGTAGCTGAGCCATCCGATCACGCTTGCTCTCCAGCTCTCGAGACAGGGAGTAAAAGTAGCAGTCTGGGTCATCCATGCGCTTGTAGTCCATCCAAAATGCTTGTGCCAAAGCCTCCTGGAAACATAAGGTCCAAAGTACTCATTAGCACTCAGTACTCTACAGACACTCCCACTTCCTGCTGAAATCATGTGGATTTTTGTTCAGTCCTGGCCCATATTAAGCAAATCACCACACAAATTACACAAGATACATCTGTAATCTGCTCGTTACTTTGTGCTGTGGCATCACCCAAAACACCCAATCTTCTTCTAGGCACTGATCATACACAGAAGTCAGAGTCCTGGACACAAGGGTTTACAATCTGAATTGAAGTTAAATTTAATTTTTTGATGATAATGTACCATAGAATACTAGACACTAGTAGACAGAACTTTCATTTATATTTGCTAGGATACCATTACGATTGTCATATTTTATGCAACACATAGTTTGTAGGTACAAGATAACAGAATCTGCAAGACTGATTTTTTTTTTTTAAATGTCTGGTGTGCTGATCAAATTTGTTTCCTCTTCTTACACACTAGAATATGTATCTTGACAAATAAAAATTCATTGTTGTGATTACTGTTTTATTACATGAGGCCAACAGCTTTCTTACACCAGAAAACAATCTCCTTTGCCCCATCTGTACCTACCTGTAATGGAGTTGGGCAAGTGTATAGTGTATTTTGGTGAACAACTTGCAAATGCTTGATCAGGTGCTCAGGACCAATGGACCAACCAAGCTAAGGGAGGAAAGGATGCATATATTACACTTACAGGCAGTGGTGTTACTAAGAGATAACAAATACTAAAAATTAGCCAGTCTCGAGTTTTTCTATTTTAAGAATTTGTTTTGATAAATTATTAAGAAAAAGCTGGTTTACACAAAGCTTAGTGTATGACACCTTTAAAAAATGGTAGATTCGAGACAGCAGTTCTATTTTCCCTTATCCCCATCTCTCATAGGATACTGATCAAACTTTTAACTATTCATATAACAAGGGTTAGAAATCCAACTGAACATTTATTAGAAATGTTATTTCTAATTGGTTTAGAATCTTTCCATCTCTTAAGCTCCTGTGTCAAAGCCAGTTTGAATATAAAACAAAAGCTCACTATTGCATCATATATGCTGTGGTTCACTTTGAACACATAATGAAGAATTTAGTTGCTAAAATTTTTTTTTCACTTTCTGATACATATTTAAAAGTCAAGATGGGAAAACTGGTAAGTTAAAACATCATAATATCCATGTTTTCTCCAAGAATCTTTACTGATTTTGAACACAACATACTGTGGTGGGTTTTTTAGTAATTTATGCTTTCAAGAGTTTATCAATTACAAGACAAGAAGACAATTAAGACATGGGTGTTAAAGATAGGTAATTGCTCCAACTGAATGGTATTGTCACATTTTGGAGACATGAAGATTTGCCAGAAATGTTCAGAACACAGGTCATAAAAACAGAGGTGTTTTTAGAGTAATAAATGCATTCTATATACTTTAACTCATTTATATTGATTCCTCTTACCTTCCAGCCAGTTACACTATATGTTTTTCCAGCACTTCCTATAGTTACTGTTCTTTCCCACATACCTGGCAACATAGCTGTACATAAAATAAAATTAATTTGGTACATATGCCATGTAATTTGAACAAGTGCACTGCCGCTAGCTCAGAGCTGTATGTTCACTGCAGCATCTTAAGCAAACAATGAGAATATTCTAAAATTACAGCAATTGTAACAAATAAGAAAGGATATATGGGCCAGTGCTTTTTAGCATGAAAAGAAGGTAAGGATTAATGAAAGGAGAAAGAAGAGACAGAAAATAAGAGGTACAGTTTGAAAACTACATGTGAATTATCCTCAGCAAAAATGCACAATTATCCATAAGAAAAATATTATCTAAGGCTACCCATTCACCCTAGGACAGATTATTTCTGATGCCTGGTAATAGTACTATACACAACACTAACTCAGGCACTGCAACCCACTTTACTAGAATTGTCTAGTTCAGTGTCACTGGCTGTCTCAGACATCAGAAAAACAAAATAATTACTAAGACTTCTAACCCAGAACCAAACAACAGAATGCCAGAAAACTAGCAGAGTGAGTAAATAAATTATGCTGTATTGTACAATTTGAACAGACCTGAGACTGACTGACAATAGCAGTTAGCTGAAATGTCTGCAAGGATTAAGGGACTCACAGGGGCCTGTCTCTGTCTTTGCAGCTGTATCTGATAGGAGACCAAAACCCTTTTTTCCCTTTCCAAGGAGATAACAGAGCAAAGGTCTCTTTCTGTAGTTTGCAAATTTTTTTCTCTATACAGCTTCTGCAAAACTCTCCTTGGACTCTAACTTAATTAATTTCAAGAGAAACAGACAAATCCAGACACACTTAAGTCTGAGACACGAAGTCAGTCAAGGTTGCAATTACAGTAGTCACCAACATCTGACTTCACCTTATTTGCATACTAGAACCACTACCAATGAATCTGTCAGTTGTTAAATCTCCTCTCTAGTGAAACCAATGAACAAAGATTTTCCAAATTAAACCCCTGAATTTCACAAGGAAGTTTTTGGGGCAGTTATGGGCATTAGACATGCCATAAGTCTTTCAGTTATTTGAAAACATGTATTGCAATTTTTTGAGCAAACTTACCAAGAAGAGAAACCAAACAGCATGAAAGAAACTGATTTTTCTATTAGCCTACCCATACTCAACTACTCTGTGACCTTGAAAAGAAAAAGTTTGAACAGATGTATCTTCTACCAAGCTAGGCCAACAGTACAGATCACTTCCTAGAGGCACCCAAACTAGCTCTCACAGACTGCAGAAAGAATTGGCTTTCAAAGCTAATGGCCTCTAGCAAGGCTGTTTTGCCACATAGTCACAGAAATTCCACCTTGGAGAGAGAATGTGACAGCATATCAAACAATAGCAGCAGTACAAGGGCACAGAGAAGGAAGCAGCTCCATTGCTTTTACAAACAAGTTTTACACAAAGTGGGAAATTTTTCCGTGCCACTTGGCAACCATATATGACATCATATGACACCATAACCAAGTCTGACTACAATTTAAAAATTAATGAAGTGCAACTAACATATAATAAGCCTATTACCTGGGATGGTACTCAGCTTGTTGAGTGGCTTGCTCAGAATCCTCAGTTATGAGGTGCAGTCTCTAAATCTGTCAGGGCAACCCTAATCATAATGCAGAGGAAGTCCACATTTTTACAGAAGTCAGATGATGGGAAACATGATGAAGTGTTATATGCTGCAGAAAACTGCTTCAGTGACAGCACAAAGACTGTACTAATTTTATGAGCTGTGGCTAGCAACCCCTGCTAAATTGTATGAAGGAACAACTATCAGATCCTGTAAATTGATGCAATATCCATTTTGTATCTCCCACAAATAAAAAAAAAAAGTGTCACTGCATTGGATAGAATATGTAGAGGTTATTATGGAAACACAAGAATTTAAAAATAGAGAAATAACACACTCATTTTTATTGTATTATTTTTGTAGACTTAAAGTAATAAGGAATATGAGAAACTTCAGTAAAAAAAGAGCAGAGCCTGTTTCTTTCACTGAAATAATGTTATTGTTTATAGTGTTACCCTGAAAGTTCTAGAGTACTTTTAACACTAAAGATGATATAATGAGATCTATTAGAGAATCCATACCTAAACCTAGTTGACTAACTTTCTGGGCTTTAATTTGCATTTTCTTTATACAGTACTTTTACATTTTATGCTAAATTACAGAATGCCTTTGGATTGGTGCAGTGTTTTGGTTTGAAGCATTAAGATGCTGATGACAATGGAGATACAAAATCTTAAGAATTCACCACCTGTCCATAAGATGAAGTGTAGTTGACAATGTGTTTGGACCTGCTGCTGTTGAAAAGGAAAAAGGATTACCTTGCACCATACAGAGATTTTGATTCTGAAGACAGCCTTGCATGAAATGCTAAGGACATGAAACACCTGCTAAGCCCACGGAGAAATCTTTAATCCAACTGACTTCACTTTGCAGCTGGGACACATGATCAGTTACTGTTAGGTAATCTTTTAAGATGCAGTGACTCAGATTACTATCACATTAATCTATCCAAAATGTTCCTCTTCTTCCATGTCTGAAGGTCTTTGAGACAGTATCACTATCAAGGCAACCACAACAGCCATGGAATTAGGTCACCCTCAAAACAGACTCACAGCCTGTGCATGGCCAATACAATCAATGTACTGCAGCTGGATGATCAGCAACTGTGCAGCTAAGCTAACAAGTATTGCAAGGTCATTTAATATAATTTTCTTTCTATTACTCATAATATTCAATTTTCACAATGGTGTAGCCCCCACCAATGGATTTTATGGTCACTTTACAAATATGGAATTAAACCCCAGAAGCAAAGTTATTCAGCATTCAACCAGTGCCAGAGCTAGGAAAAAAGGTAAGTCTTTTCATGTCTAATTTATACTTAAGTGTCTTGATTTCATTGTTTAATCTTAACTATATGCCTCTATTGGACACGACTGAAATGTGCCTTCAATACAACAGTAAGTACATCAGAACAGGTAGTTCATGCAAGATGCTACCATGAGAAACAAAATATCTGTACATCTGAGAAGGAAACACATCAGCAGAGCCAACCCGAGGCCACCAACTACACCAGACTAGAAATTTTCAGAGAAATACATAGCTGTAGTTATTATAGAACTGGCACTGGAGTTCAGTAATGGGCACTAGGTTAAGTTGTTCTGAGGCAGTGGGAGTGATTCCACTAACTTCAGTGAAAATAGGAGCAAGTAAAACAAGAGGATCAAGAACCTGGCATCATTATTTGTTTTTCTGGTTTGTTCTTGCAATGGTGCTTTACCCCTGTAGCAACACTACCTGAAGATTTAACAGGCTTTCATACTGCACTTGCAGGACTTACTTCACTGAATTCAATGTCCAGTATTTAACCCTGTCTCCATGCTTCCGAGGGACAGTACTCATGCACCATCTCCACAATGACTTTTATAATATTTTTTAGTTCTTTATAATTAGTGGAGCAAAAATAATTGTGTTCCTCATTGTCCATTTCCCTCATTATTATCTCTACAAAGCTTTGAGAAGGAAGTTCTAATTCCTGTTCCTTCTATTAGTTCTTCAGCAAAGCACTAATACATATACAGTAACAGCAGCTATACTTGTCATGGCCAACAAAGTAACTGAATAAGGATGGCAAATTCACATGATCACAAGATCATATGATTACAAGCATCAGTCCCACTGGTTTCTATGGATATCTGCTCCAAAGGCACTTAAAAGCTTTGGAAATTCTATTTGGAAATTATTCTTTAAAATAATTTTTAGAAAAGAGAGATGATCTCCTCCTTAGAGCCTAAACATTGCAAAATTTCAAAACTTGAAGTATGAGCTTCTTCCAGCAAGCATTATCCTTGGGAGGCAAGTTCACAGCATCATTCCACCACCGCTTCTAAGATGCCACAAAAAATCAGTACCTATTTTAATGTGTTTATTCCCTTTATACACCAGCCATTCATACACCTCATCACTGATGCACAGGGTGTCATGTTTAATACAGAGATCAGCTATTACTTGGAGCTCTTCCAGGGTAAAAACCTGGGATAAAGGAAAAGTAAAGGAAAATACATTAATCACAGTATTTAAGGCATTCTTTGACATTAAAGAGGTGTTAAAGCAGGACTCTTACCTTGCCTATCGGGTTGTGTGGGGTATTCAGAATAATTGCTTTTGTTTTGGAATTAAATTTATTTGCAAGTTCAACAGGATCTAAGACCCAATCAGCACTAGATGCGGAGTTTCCATCATTTTTCTAAAAAACAAACAAACAAAACAAAACAAAACAAAACAAAACAAAACAAAAAAAACCTAAAAAACAAAGCCACAATAAATTTATATGTGACTTTAATACATGTTGCAGCCTAAAGAGAGCTGCTCAACTTATCACACTCTAATACTTTCATAGCCATGTGTGACAACCTATCCAATCTGTCTCGCTCACCTAAGAGAAGGTTGTTCTAGGAACAGCTAAACTATTGTGACAGTGGCTGTACTCCTCTGACCACTGTCTGTCTTAAAGCCCCTGCAGGAATTGGTTTCCAGGATCTTGTTGTACACATGCTGATTATTACAGTGTGTAGTGCAGAAACCCCAGTCACATGTCAGGAGAGTTTACAGGCTTGCCAGAGGATAGAGCAAATGTGTGCTCGCTTGACTGAAAAGACTGATCACTGGGGGTTCAAGGTCTTTTCCTCCTCCTTAAACTAATGAAAATGGCCAACGAGATAAAAATCTGTACTACTGAGTCTTTGGAGTTTATATACTACCCAATACAAGTATCCCTAAAATATTACAAATGGTTAAGAAGCTTGGGCCAGTTGGGACAGAGAGCATGGAACATGGCCACACTACCCTTGTGACAGCTGCAATGACTGGGAGAGGTCCAGACCAAAACAAGGGTGTGAAACAGAAAATGCTTGGAGGTGCCCTGTCATCTGAAACATTCCTAGAAGATGGACTTCCAGAGGAACAGTCTCACCTACTCCCACTGCAAGTCCTGAAGGTTTTGTCACTCTGTGTTGCTCTGATTTCATGGTGTTCCTGCAACAGTGCTGCCCAACGAGGCCCTCAGCCCTTCCTGTGCAAGGCTGCACAAGGCACAGCTGGCACATACAGGACAATCCTTGCAAGCTGTGGGCATAATGCCAGCAGTACCAATTTGACAATTAACCTATAGCCTATTTGACAATAAAGGAAACAGTAATTCTTGTATGTATAGCAAACACATCTACTACATGATCAGTCTTTATTTAGCAAGCATACTTTGGAAAAGAAACTGTATTCTGTCATGGTAGGGATTGCTGCAGGGATCAGGAACCAAACCTTTTGAAAACCAACTGACAGAGACATTGTACTGATACATGGATCCCCCTTCCATAATTTGCACTAAAAACTAAAGAAAGCAGTTTTAATCAGCTTTCAGAATGCACAAATTAAAGCAAATAAGAAACATTGTCGCACCTTCTCCAACACTAATAAAATATTCTCTTTTGGATTATCATTGTCTCAGACTTTCACTCTAGCAATCTATCTCATTTTTATGTAATTTGATATTTCAAAAAATGATACAGAAAAGCATCGTATAGATGTTCATCAAACTGTATTGAACATGGATGAGAAACTTTATATAATCAGTAATTTTTAAAAAGTTACTCACACATCTTAGTGGGATAAAAACAGGCTTTGCACCCGCCATCTTGACCATTGGCTCATAACAGTCATAAAATGGCTCTATTATTATTACCTAAAATGACAATCATCAGTATCAGAAACAAAGAGTTTACTGTGCATGATAGCACTATTCCAAACAAAAGAGAAGAGACTATCAGAGCAACAGAAAAGCAAGTTGAGAATACAATATACAAGTGAAACAAATGAAACACTGAAAGCAAAATATACAACAACACAAAAAGGTTTTGTCCACTATGGACAGAAATATTCCTGTAAAATGACTTTTTATATTATTGTCAAAAAGGCAGACATCAATAATAGTGAAGAGCTGAGTCATCACAGCTAGTATGGTAACTAACAAACTTTTCTGCTACCTACATTGCCACCATGCAATGGCCCAAAACAGAACCTCACACACAATGGTTACCCAAACACCAACAATTCTTTGTGCCACCCTTAGCTGTCTGTTGCAGACAACATCCCACATGTTTTCTCAAACAAGAACTCAGTGTGTTTTGTGTCACCTAACAGTAACAGTGATAAAGAAACTGCCAGATACCCTAAGTGTGAAAAAAGGTGTTTGTAAATTGATGAGTGATAGGAAGACATCCAAAGGACAGTCTCCTAATCACAGCTTATGAACTCATAAGTCAGATGTACAACTGTAAAAAATCAAACCAATAGGGACAGAAAGAAGCCCCAACATTAACTTATATTTAGAAGTAGACAAATAAGAAAAAGACTGTCATGTTTGCAAGTATATGTGAATATTTCCAGTAAAAACTTACTTCATCTCCCTCTTCAATTAGTGCCTGTATTGTACTAAAGAGAGATCCATAAGCTCCCACAGTCACCAGGATATCTGTGAGAGGATCAATCTTTCTTCCACAAACTTTCTCATAGACTTGAGACAAGGCTTTCACCAGTGATGGATGTCCCTGTTCAAAACAAAAAGAAAGTAACTGATTGGAGCCTGCCTGACAATGTATAAAGCCTGTGTTTGGGCTTTTTATTACGTGTATCAAACAATTACATTTTGAAATAGAAAAATAGAACATTAGCCCTCAGTGCAAATGGCTGTTAACAGGTAACAGGGTTTAAACTTTTTGCACACTAGGAAAGAAAAGCTTGTTTTCAATTTATTTGCATCTACTCGGAAATTCTTTTTCTGTCTGGTGCTTTTTAATTTCTTTCATATTATCACATCACAGAGTAGGTCCAGATAGCCTATAGCCTAGCTAGGACAAGAGACAGAAGGAGAGAAGGGAATACTCTTGACACTAATTCACCCTCACCTCCTTTTGAGTCCCTTTCAGCTCCTTCTCTTTCCTTTCTTATCTTTCAACTAAAAGTATTTGGTGCAAGGAAAATCTTTTAATTGTATTTATATATTGCTGATAAATAGCACTTGTGATCAAAATACTTATTCATATAGTCACATCCCAAACCTCAGAGTACCATTCACCATTGTGTGCCCTCCAGGAACATGGCAGTTAACATACTCGTCTCAAAATGTGCAAATAAAAGAAAACAAACATGCAACAAAGAGCATATACAACACGGAAATAAGAAGGCGCAATTCTGTTTATTCAGGAAAACTGCAAGATTCCTACTTTAAAAATATTTTTTCTTTTGGGATGCCAGGTAGAAGTAGAAAACAGCTCCTCGAGAAAATGCAACTATGTAACAAAAATCCTCTCAAATATTCAACATTATATTTTGACACACAAGGCATTAAATCATGAACCCTTCTATAAACAAAAACATTACCATAAATTAAGGCTTACAAATCATTGCTGATTCAAATGACAGCCATTTCTTGCCATGAGCCAGTCAGCAGGACAGGAATGCTGCAGCACCCAAGCCACATCAGGCCACTCTATGGTCCTACAGTCATTGAGAGCTCTGAGTTCAGCTGACACAATGGCTCAGTTCTCAGATGGATGGCCATCATTCACTCTCATCCCTCCCATGTGTGCTACCACAAATACTTGTGCTCAAAAACCTTAGAAGTGCACAAGTTTGCAGATGAAGTACAAAGGTTGAATATGGGAATATGAGTAAAAATTCCTCTTTAATTACTATCTGCAGTATATATACAAATATCCATAATTATAATGGGAATATTAAACCATTTAGATATAAAGAACAAAGTGACAGAAATAAGTACTGAACAATTCTATGCATTAGGAAAATTATATTTATGCTTGATTTGCAAATAGTTTTACAGAATCGGTCTGCAAATATTTGTCAGAAGGTAGACTTGGCGTGGTTTCAGCTTGACATAGCTGAAATGTTCTTCTTAGTAGCTGGTAAAGTCTGTTACAGTTCAGCAGCCAGACACAACTGCAGCCCATGCTCTGTGTGACCTTGTCCACTGTGCCAAGGCTCCTCCAAAACCTTGTCTGCTTGGTGAACAAAGACTTTTCAGATACCATATTGTGGGTGATGTACACAATAATGCTTAGCCCAGAACTTCACTTAGTTCAGGATATCATTTGCGTGTATCTGACATAAAATAATTGCTTCATTCTTTCAAGTCCACATAGACAGAATTTTTTGTTATGCGTGTATATTTATATGTATGTATATATGTGTGTATCTCACACTTGCAGAGACTCTTTGGACATAGCTAAAGGTCCCTTTTGTGGCTTGGCCTTAGACCTGCTGTGTCACCCTGGAGCTGCCCAGTGAAGACTGGGTTATGTCTAACTATGGTTAGCATTGCAGAGCCTGATCTGGGGACTGACTTCCTGGCTTGTTCTCAGGGGAGCTGAGCTGCCTCAGCCAGTATCTCTGGGCATGCCTTGCTCCCCAGGGCAGAGCTGCCCAGTCCTCCACTCTGCTCACTGTGAGAGCTTGTTCTTTAGGCAAGTGCTGGCCACTGCTGCTCCCCATCATTTCTAATGCATGCAGACTCTCCAAAAGTTATGTTGGAATACGCACACAGTGATACCATAAGTACCAACACAGTTTCTGGCCTAGTGGCCTATACAATGCTTCTCTGCCCTTGTTGCAAAACATGGTCAGCTCGAAAAACACTTGACAGACTCCTTAGGGTCTTGTAGCAGTCCTGGCACGTGATTGCTATTTGGGCAATACAACTTGTCACGAAAGAGAAGACCAACAAACCAAACAACGAACTGATCATACCAAAACAGTAACAATCCCCTGGAATACCCTGCCTTGGACAATGATAAATGCCATATACTCACACCCAGCTCAAGACAGAAACTCTACAGGCCAGCTTCAGAACATGTAATAAATATATTCTAGGGGCAAAAACTTCCTGTTTTCATCCCTTCCTAGTCTCCGCTGAAACCTACTAAGTTCTGTAGGTGAATCTCTTCTTGATCCTAGAGGTGCTGTCTCAAGTGGTATCAAGTATTTCTTTCTCATTCTCCCACTGTACTGTCTGATTATGTTCCCACTGACCAAAGTCAGAGGTAAATGTATAACCTACACTCTTTAAACTGAATCTGCTCCTCAGAGACCTCCCAGACCTGCTCTACCATTCTGCTCTTGCTGAAGGATTCTGCCTCGAAGAAGCCTACACAGAGGAAGTACATTTGTAACAGATAAGGCTACTAGATTAATTTAATTTGGGACATATCTATGATCTATAGATAAAACTAATTTAAAGTTATTTTTTTCCCTGTGGCACATTTTCCACTGAACTTGGGTCCTGGAGTTCCACAATACTTACAAAGCCTCGGGTGTACTGGTTCAGTCTGTCAACTGCTGCTACCTTTGCCAGCTCTTCTTTAACATAGCTGGGAGGGGATATATCAGGAAGGCCTTGACCAAGATTAACAATTGAGGGATCTGCTGCCACCTTTGTAAATTCAACCCTGGAAGGAAAAGCATCTTAAAGTTAACATACCAGATAAAGTTATCTTTTTATTCATTAGCACTGGAAGACAAAACAAAAGTATTTCAGTTGCCAAATTTACAGCAATGGGAACAGGTTTAAGTAGAATGGAGAGCTGAGGGCTGAAATAATGTAAGTGATCACAGGAGTCAGAGGGCACCCAAGAAAAGATTGATGGTCTGCATCCATAGAATAACATTTCTGGTAGAAGTGTGCTTAGATGTGCAGATACACAAACACACAATTACTCTGGGTGTATGCAGAAATTGAATACCAGGCACGTTAAATGTCCTAAAGATTAAAGTCAGTGAATTGAAGGTGTCATTTAAACTACCCAGTCACCTCAGAGTGCTATAATTTTTAAAAGTAATTTTAGGCAACAGACTGTTTCAGGCTGCCTATTAACTGTTTCTAATAGCCTGCAGGATCCTTGAACAATTTTTCCTTCCTCCCTTCACAGGTCAGCTTTACATTTTACTCTTTCCTCCCTGCTGAAATGTTAACAAGATTTAAAAAACGAAACAAAACAACCCTCTCCCCATCATAACACTTCCCACATAGCATCACAGTCCTGTCAAAAATGAATACAAATTGCTAAAAATTAGCTTGAGGCTGAATCATCAAAACACCTTGTGTATATGTACACAACTAATGCAACACATACATACAACTAAGGTAAGCCCAAAATAGTCTTTTCACCAACTAAGAAAATTCCATATTTATGAGTGATGGCAATATTGCTGTAAGACCAATTTAATACCTAGAAAAAGATGTATTAAAAATAATGAGCCAAATTATAAAACAAGTATAAGGGCTTATTATAAAACAAGTATAATGGCTGTAACAAAATCTGACTTGGTTGGTAAACACAAATCAGGTGTAATTGAAACACATTATTCAACATGTGCTTAAATTAACATTTAAATTTGAAAAGTAGCTATACTACCATGCCCATGAATTATATTTGTCTTACGTGGTTTAATAGATGAAGAGAAGCCCAAGCCTAACATTTAAAGCTCAAAAATAAAAATTAATCATACCTTTAATTGAATTTAAGTCACTGCTTCTATATAATATATTCCAGCAGAGATAGCAACTGCCATGTATCTTATTACTAATAATTATCTTTTTGGAAGGAAAATACATCAGCCAAGAACATTTTCTGAAATTTGCAGATATTTTCCTCTTACTTACCACACATTGCTATCAAGGCCTTCAATTCGTCTTGTATTTTTGTGTCTGAAGGGCATTGTCTGCAAGATCAAAACATACAGACAGAAGGGTTTTGTTAAGAAGGACAAAGTATGGTATTGTTGGATTCAGCATGAAAACCCTCCTTCATGCTTTCTCAAATATACCATTGCCAGCTGAATTCAGTAATTACACAGAATTATAGACATGTTCTTTCATTAAAGCTTCCATAATAGCTTGAATTCAGACTGACAAGAAAATACACAAAAACATCCTAAATTCTCATTCATCATTACCTAAATCCACTAGTGCCTCTCTAAAACATTGCATGAAATATGAAATAGTTTTCTCTGTGGAGCCGAAGGAATACTTACTGCAGAGCTGGAATGTTTGATGGATCTGGAAAGCCAATCTGTTCTTAGCTTAACGCCACGGCAACAGAAGTTTCGTGAAGCAAGAAACATGCCTGCATAATAAATAAGTGACCTGAAAAACCTTACAGATTCTAGGAAAGAGCTCCTACACATCACTAAGCAATTTTAAGACAAGATCCTCTCCTCTTCCCCCAGTGATTTTGTTTCAATTAAATAAATGCTACCAAATGATTTCCTGGTCACAGATGTAAGCATAGAGGATGAAACTCTCTAATTGACAGGGCTGAAAAATGTTTCTGAGTGTCATCTCGAAGGAAGGTTTCCTTTATTTGAAAACATTGATTTTTTCTTTTCTTTGAATAATAGGTAAGACTAAATGCAATTCAAGCTTCAAAGTCTCTGTTAGAATTCTTGTGAACATGTTTGTGTAATAAAAGTTGCTATTAAAATTGCTAATATAGAATATAAAAAGAGCCCAATTTTTTAAAACTTACACATCTTTAAAACTTGTCTCCATTTCAAAGTGCTTCAAATCAGGTATGCTGAAATCAGGATAATTAAGATGACCAGTCACACTGGAGAGGGAGGCCTATGAACTTTATGTAACTACAATAAGTTTTGTCACAGTGATTTGGCAAACATTAAATATCTCCCACAGCTGAAAACAGCTAGAAAAGGCACTTTGTGTAGAGTAACATCATTCACAGACTGGAGAAAATGTGTCCTGTTAATTAATAACTATCAAAAAGAAATAAGAACTGGTACTTCATGCAACTATTTCCAGAAGATACTTTAAAATATATGTTAGATTACATTGCCACAATGACTGAAATATGTTAGACACATGGAACCCACAAATCTAATGTCAGAAACACAGTAGCCACAGCAGTATAATTATTAACTTTGTTTTCCATCATTTACTCATTAAAGGGTACATAACTTCTGTTCCCCGCCCCTGGCTTTGCTACCTGAGAAGAGGAAGAGAACAAAAAAAACAAACAAACCATACTATTTGTATTAGAAACAAAGGAATGTCATTGCCTCTTAAAACGATACCATGCGAGCCTCGTGATAAAACGTAAATCAACAGCACAGTAAAAGATGATGTTTTCATTAAGAAGAATGCTTTTAGTCCAGCAAGAAAGTGTCCTTTACACTTATTAACTAATAGAAAAGGCCAGTCAAAGATGCTTCAATGCCTAAGTTTTAAAAGTATGCCGATTTTGCCTTTCTCTTACTCCTGTGCTACAAACTCAGTCCCACTTCTGAAATTAGGGTCTTTCTCACACACTACTGAGCTGTGGCCAACTCAATTAGACCTTCAAAATAGCCCCATAATCCCATTGCATTTAGCAATCTGCAAGTAAACAATTTATGTTCATTTACAAGAAGAAACTCTGCTAGTATGAGGACTAATGAAAGTAAACAGCAAGAAAATCTTTGACACCAGTCAGCAGATATTCTTAAAGACACAGAAGAAATACATGTGCTTAAAAAAGACCAGAAAATCCATTTCAAGTGATTTCTAATAATACCACTTAGCATATTCAAGGTTATCTTTGAGAATAACTATGCAAAATCAAAAATATTATTAAGGTCTCTATTGCTCCCCTTGTCTAAGGTTACAAAAACTACTTGTGTAACATACTGGTGGTATCTTAAAACATAACCATGACATTGGTGCTGTTCCCCAGGGTCAGACCAAAGAGAGCACAACTCTTGCAGCCCACTGTGAACACTTGCAGTTGTTAGTGCAGAGAGACAAACACGCATATCTTTGCCTGTTTCATTTTGTATTGAGAAATATAAAACTTAAACAAAAACATGCAAGCCTTACATGCAGAACTAACTTGCAAGTAAGAAAAATTACTGACAGTTGTAAATATTTCCAGCATTAGTGCCATGGTGCACCAAAAAACAGAAACATTATTTGACACGAGGCAATCACACAAAAGCACCACACTGCATGAGCAGGAGCAGACCTGTGTTAACTGTGGTGTGGTCAGTCTCTACAAGTGCCTAAAATACCTGAAGAAAAAATTATATCCACCTTTAATACCACAGAAGTGTAGAAACTGGGAAAACTTTATGAGGAACATAATGGAAATGACTTTGCTGAACAGCCTCAGTAAGAACAGGCACTGGCATGTAACACTTCTCCCACTGTTCCTATCTTTGTGACACTTTTCCAGTGAAAACTGAACAGCATTTGTTCAGACTCAAGAGACAAGACTACTGAGCATAAAATGAAAAAGCCTCCCATAAAGTACTTTTATGACTTATTTTATTTCTAAAAATGCCTCTTTTCTGATCTGTAACTCTGAGTACCTCCACTTAGACTTCAAGGATGTAAAGGGAAAGGCCTCTTTAATATAACCAGATACACTCCCACACACTAATCCTAAAAAAAAAAAGAAAAAGAAAAAGCAAGGCCTACTTTGACTCTTTTTTTTCCAAACACACACATTCCCAGTATAATTTTATATGACATGTTAAGACATACCACAGGCTCAAGAGAGTTACTTTTACGATGAATGCACTCTCAATTATTACCCCATATATGTTTTAGCACAGCCAAGCATGCGTAAAACACATCAAAGAGATGGTTTCTATTATCCTAAGTTGAGTTTTTATCATTGGGATAAAAAGTTTCTTCCAAATCAGGGAAGTTACACAATGCCAGGCAGCTAGAGAAGTACTGCAAACCCCATTTCAACGCTCTTCAAAATGTGTAAGGTTCTTCAAACACAGAAAATTCACTGATCTTTGTGGGGGAGTTAAAAGAAATATTCATTTCTTTCTTAGTCTTATTAATGGTGGTTTTTTTTTTCAATTTTGGAGTCAGACATCAGTACTTTGGCCAAGAGTCATGTCTGCTAAACCCAGAAATTAAATAAGAAATTCTTTTCGTCCCATTCTAATTTTCAGTGCTCTGAAGCATTCATGTAGTGAGTCCTCCTGGAATTCAGGCTTGCATATCCATAGAGAAAACAGGAAAATTAACATGTTAGAGGAAAAGGGATAACAAATTACTACTCCTACAGCTTTCTATATTTTTAGAGGATTGAGAAATAAGCAAGGCTTACAGAAAGACCAGTGCCATAAATGTTTTTAGTGCAACTGGTAGCAACATTCTGGTTGCTAATTGGGTTGAAACTCAGGTTTGGTACTTAAATTAGACTGGAAGATATAATTTGACTTGGTCATGGGAAAGAGATGAATACATCTGTGTACTAACAATCATTTAGTTCATGCTGTGCTTTCTAACTGTTCCAGCATGGATACAATCTCTGAGTTGTAGGCCCTTCTGCTCCCTTCACAGCTGCCCAACCTCCTGGTCATACAGTACCCTGACCTTGGGATGCTGCTGAACCTCTGGGGCATTTTTTAAAAGTTACAATTTTGTAATTAATTGATTTTTCTCCTTTGAAACAAAAGGCCAAATGCTCCTGATCCTTCATTTTTGAGCTTCAGTTATTCCATCTCTAAAAAAAACATGTCACAGAGCTCGAATGACACTTGGTCTGACCCCTTAAGCTGCTGCATTTTTTCAGGTAACAAATAGTTTCATTTTACTGTGGATCCTCAGTGACAAACATTACTACAAACACTGAAAGCCTGTCTGCCACCACAGTAATGTCATAATGTAAATAAACGTTATATTTGTACCGGGCTTCATATTTTTGGATATGCAAATCTAGAAAAAGTTATACCTCAGCTAAATGCTGTCAGGACTTTGAAGGACTGTCTCTTCTTGTTGTCTAGAGGATGAAAGCCTTGGAGAAAGAAAAGGTGCCATCTTACCAGTGGAGGGCTCTCCAGGACTTTTTTTCCTACCACCTATATGCAATAGATGGCTTATTGAGCCAAGAGAACTGTTGCCAAAATCACTGTACTCAGGAAAGTTGGGCAAAGGCACTGAACTTAAAACCTTCTCTTTGAGAAAAATTTATCACAGCAGTCAACATTTTGTCACTTCTACTTCCATAATCTACAAGGAACGGAGCAAATTGTGCGCGGAGAAATAAATTTTACCATACGGTTCAAGGAGCGGGATGAGGTTGTGGGGTTTTTTCTTACTTTTTTTTTCCCCCCCCTCGTAGAGCAGCTCTACCATGCAGCCACTCTGTGTCGCGCTTACGCTCCCACCCACACGTGTTTGCAACCTGCAGCACGGGGCTGGGGCGGCCGGAACCTGCGGGGCACCAAGGCCGCCCGCCCTCTCCCACAGGCCCCTCGGCCAGAGCCGGGGCTCCCCGGGCCCGGCCCGGCCGCTCTGCGGGACAGCAAACGCGGCCACCCCGAGCTCGGGCTGGGAGCCGCCTCCCCCGCAGGTGCTCGGCGGAGGGCAGCGCCTCCGCCCCGGCCGGCGCCGTCACACTCGCCACACTCGCCACACTCACCACCCCGACACCGCCTCCGCCGCCCGCCGCCGTCGCTGCCGATGGGGCGGGGCCGCCCGTCCCGCCGCCCTGAGGGGCGGAGAGCGCCCATCCCTCCCGTTCCTCCAGTCCGAGGGCCGGAGAGGGCTGTCCCGCCCGTCCTACCGCCCTGAGGGGCGGAGAGCGCCCGTCCCTCCCGTTCCCCCAGCCCGAGGCCGGGTCCGCCCGTCCCGCCGCGGGTGAGGAGCTGCTGAGGGCGAGAGGACCGCGCGCAGTGCGGAGCAGAAGAACCGAGGCTTAGAAATGTCTCTCTGTCCCCGGTACGTTATGAAACTACACACACACGTGTACGTAGCATCTCCCAAACATCATAAAACTCGGCGCTTTCTTGGGAAAACTGGGCTAACTGGCTACCTTTCTTGGGCTTTGGCCTTTCTGGAGGGAATAAAGTGTCAAAATTGTAAGAAATTATCTCATGCCTAAGTTTACCACTTATAAGGAAAAGAATGAGATTTTCCAGATTTCTTAAGGCATTCAATAAACTCACAGAATCTGCATTTTTAAGGTTCCCTTTCACAATCAGGATGGAGACTTACTCAATTTGTAAATGAAAAAGTTCCCTTCAATCAACCTCTCATCATCACCAAATTTGATTATTCAGTTAGAAATATATATATATATATATATATATATATATATATATATGCAATGTCTTTACAGTTTACTTTTCCTGCTCTTATAAATCTTTATAGAACTGGTTTGCCTTAATCTCAACACCATTGTAATGATTGTTTACATCATTGCATATCATTGTTTAAGAGAAAGGCCGTACCACTCAAATTAATTTTTTATGCTAAGTCCCATTATGATTCTGCAGAGCTGAAAGAACCCATAAATCAGATTTTAGAAGGGTCTGGCATGACCTACTGTCAAATACATTTCTTGCTCAAGAATGTTCAATAATACAGATAAATATTTTTGAAAGAACTGTACAAGCCAGTGAGAAAATACTTTCTATAGCAAGTCTTCATTGCTTCTTTTTAATGTGGATACTAGAAAGTTCTCTGATGTGTCAGTAAGAATCACAAAGATAACAATTACAGGCAGAATGCAGATATAAAATGGGATATATACACTATTTGCATATCATTACCATATGTATTGTGTTATCTATATAATCATTGTATATATTCATAGAAAATTAAAGAGTAAGAGCTGATTGAAGAGAACTAATTTCATAGAACAAACTAGAACACTCTTCTTGGATGTAGAAATACTCTGACAAGGCCAGAACAATACAGCAAAATTAAGAAACAAGTCCCAGCAATTATTTTAGATCCTAAATAAGACACACAAAAAAATGAACAGTTTTTTAAAAATTTTTTAATGCTTCTTGAGAATTCTAGTGGTCTCCAAATGCAGTCCTCTGGCAGAGAGGACATCTGCAAGCATGCACTGGAGGGCAGCAGATCCCAACCTCTGCTATGTCATGAGGAGCTTAAAAAGGGGAGAAAAGAAACTTTAGCCTACTATTGGCCGTTTGTTCCATTGATGTATGTATGACTTATGTACAAAGCTGTCAGGGGGTAGTCCATGAACTGTGATGCTCCGCAGGCTTCTGCATCATCTTGTCTCCTCTAGGCCCATGATACAGACAGCTGAAGGGATGTTGGGAAGATCCTCCTGGTGCATGCTCAGAGGATGAAACAAGCACTGTTTGAGTTCTTGCCCTCAGTGCTGCGCAGTGTTCACCAGGCCAGCACAGATGGTCTGCTGAGTGCAGGAGGTTTTGGGTATTTTCTGCTCCAGCTGGCACTGACATTTCCTCTCTTGCAAGACTGTGACTCTTGTAGGTGTTACAGAATCTTTTGAGCATGTGAGTTAATGGGATCCACTGCAGTTTAACTAACATGGCAAAGACAGCAGTGTCTGTTCATTTAGTTATAATTCTGTAGCCTCTGGTGCAACAGTTTTGGTTTAAATTTCAACAGAAGTAATATGAAAACCATATAAGAGGTCCAACATCTGCAACAATCAAAGTCTGCTGTAGTTGTGGACAGCTATGAAAATTGTGGTTGCTACCTATATGCAGTAGCAATTTTTCAAATTCTTCCCCCAAAAGGACAATTTTTTTAAAATGTAATGGTATTTTGTGCTTTAAGCAGGAAATCCTCACCTTGCATATCAGTCAGATGGTCTTGAAGGAGGCCTGTCTCATCAGTGATAGAGAAATTGAGTAAGCAGTCCAGCCTTCCTACACTTTGAGCAGTATGTAGGTCCAAAACTTCTGTTTCAAAAATCACTAACTTAAAAGAATTTTTCAAGTTCTGGCACGGCAGGGAAAACAGGAGGAACACTGAGCCTAACGATTAAATACATTGTCTGATGAATACAGCATTCAACAGTTTTCATAAACTTACATCAGTCCTGAAACCCAGGGCTCAGCTAAAGTAATAAATTTAGGTGTGGCGAGGTATTTGCTTTTTTAGATTTATCTTTCATACATAAAAATGTTATCTATTTCTATATTTTAAAAGTAACTTTGCCATCACCCAAATTTAACTTTCCTGACCTTTTTTAAGGACCCCAAGTATCTTATAATGAGGTTCCGTTTGGAAGCATCTCACTAATTTTGTAACTGCTTAATAATGCCTCCTCAATTTTTGATAGAAGTCTACCATGGCAGCTTCAGATATTCCCATTCATTAGAAGCAAGAATTAGTGCATTTTTAGTCTAATTTCTTTTCATATAATCAAGCTCCATTTTTCTTTTTTTTTAATATGAAAGGAGGTCAGGAGTTTCTACACTTCAAAACTGATTAGTGAGGCAGTTCAGTTGAAGAGGACAAAATTACTTGGCAGAATTTGGGTGCCAAAGCACACTATTAACAGTCCATAAAAAAATCAGCTGACTTCAGCTGTGTTTTGTCCATCAGAGTTTTGTGCCCTAGCTGCAGTAGGTAGGACTCTAATGAACCTGTATCTTGGTCAAATCAAAGCAGAGATGTAAACCATAAAATCTAAATCAGCTTTCCCTTGGTATATAGCCAATACTTTCCAAAGTGGTATTACACAAGTCATAAAAATAAAACATTATATGTGGCAGTTCCAAAAGGCAGGTATGTATGGTAATTTCCTTTTTATATGAATTTAAGGCCCTAAAGATTTTTTTTGTTTACAAGAAAAAGCATTTAATTACTGACGGGACATACAAGTCTTTGTCACAGACTTGTTTACTAACAAGAAATGGACAAAAGCCTATTTTTCTCATTACAAAGTCAACTGGACAGCAGATGAGAGAATCTCTTTGCTCACAATTCATCTTCTTAGTGTCTTCCTCTATTGCTTTGCTCCCTCAGAATTGCACAGCTATGCTTTTCAAGCCCTGCTTCTCAAGCAGAAGCACAGAAAGGCAGGCTGGTGTCTGCAGCAGCTCGGTGTCCTGTACTCGTGCCTGTGCAGTGTGTTAGGCAGGACACCCACACACCTCTCAGCCATGGATAATTTGGAGTCTCTCGGGTGGGAGGGACCATCCTTACCCCCAGCCCATGGCCCTGCTGCCACTTCACAGTCTGCCATGGTGTGGCTGCAAGCCCTGCTCAAGAAAGAGTGTGAATCTTGTCTTTTGCAAATCCTTATTTGAGGAGATGAGGAATTAGTGTGCCATCTTGAAAAGAATGCAGGATAATACAGATGAAGAAGTACACCCAAATATCTCACGAGCCCAGCTTTATTCCTAAAGGCTGAGTCCTGCCAGCATCTGGATTGGAGAAGAGGATGTGACTCTGCTCCCACACTGTGTGACTCACACTGGATTGCATAAGGGAAGTCTAGGAAGCTGGAAACACTTCAGTGAGAATTTCCCATACTACTCAGAGTATGGAGTATTAAACAAATGCATAGGATTTTTCAGTCATTTGGGGTGAGCTGTATGACACATATCTGACTACATTGTTTTGTGATTACACATTCCAAATATATGCCAAGGAACTCCCCATAACTGGTTGTGCTGTAAGCATTTATTTTTATTCTCATTAAAGTAATGAGTTTTTCTTTTCTTTCCTGGTAGGCTGCACTGTTACCATTTGCTTATCAGACAGTAGTTACTGTATAAGCTTGGCACTGTTTAAAAAAAGGCATAATAGCCAATTAATGTGATCCTGGAATTCAGATTATACTTGCTTTATTGCCTCTAAAGATCTAATCTTAGAAGATGCTGAGAGGACTCCAATTTTAAATGACCTCATACATTTTTAATGAAAGTGTGAGAAAGAAAATTGAATGCAACTGCAGAGTGAAGCAGGTGTTGGAAAGCTCTAGCATTTCTTAGCAGTAGCCACAAACAATTAATTTATTATTTGGATATTTTAATACCACCAATGCTGATCTTATATTGTGTCTATGTATCTTTGACTTCATTATAAAATTAATATTTTTATATTGTGAGGGTTTGTGGACAAAAT